AATGTTATTGTTACTGATGGCTTCCAAACTTATTTACCTTTCCGTATGTACCGTAAGATTTGATAAAGAGAAACAAATTGTTGAGATATTGTTAAAAGTATAACATTGCTTCTTGACGCCAAACTCGGCCTACGGATTCTAAACTCGGCCTAACGCATGGAAACGCCATTGAAACGCCAATGAGTTCACTTCGGCCTATCGGATGAAGATGAAAGTTGATTCGGTCGGAGCGCTTCTTTTGTTTTTGGGAATTTTGGGTGCAAACGTTCATGTCACGCGTTCTCATTGACTTCGTTCGGTAGCTAAAGTATCGTACCAAACGCATAATCTACTTGTGAACGTCGAAAACATGGATTTATTTGATGTTTTCTGCTTGATAGGCCCAAAATGGACGCTTAGGCCGAAGTATTTCTCCACCCTATTGGACAAAAAGAAAGATTCAAGGATATGGATTTTTTTTTTAAATGTAATGTTTTAAAAATTTTATGATCCTGGATTGAGAAAAATATTCAAGACTAAGATAGTTTAATGAAAAATATCCAAGATTCTGGAACGTCCAAATAGTCCGAACACATATCTAAGTTTTAGAAGCCTTAAATACATAACAGTGTAAGGAAGCTCGTCAAAGTTTGTTTAGTCCGGACACTCCAATAGTGACGCTAGTGCCACATTCAGAAATGACCAGAATCTTTGATATCTGGACAAATAAAGTTTCAAAAACTGACTGCCCTATTGCGTGTTGTGTTGGCTTTATATTATAAACTTATTACTCAAAACTTCCATAAATGGATATTTGAACCATTTTTCGAATTCATATGAGTACATAAGGCCATATTTCCCAGTAAATGGAGTATTTTGGTATTTTACTTTTAAATTATATATTAAAATATATATTGTTTTTTTTCTAAAAATCGATAATTCTATAACTCGATGGTCTCTTCAATATCGAGTTACCGAGAGTTGACTGTATAATCCATATTTTATGTCAAATTTAGCAACACACTTGTAAAAATGTACCCCTAAAATTTATAAATAATGAGCATTGAAGATATACGAATTACCCATAAGCATACTGCTAATTCTTAAACGATCGAAATTGATCGAATTAAAGTTTGCACACTATAAAGTATAGGTATGCAGAGTGACGGACAAGCGTCTAGAATAAGCTTCCAAAAGAAACTTCTAGAAGAAGCTTCCAAAAGAAGGTTCCAGAAGAAGGTTCCAAAAGAAGCATCCAAAAGAAGATTCCAGAAGAAGATTTCAAAAGAAGCTTCCGAAAGAAACTTCCAAAAGAAGGTTGCATGATAAGCTTCCACAAGAAGGTTTCAAAGGAAGCTTCCAAAATAAGCTTCAAAAGAAACTTCCAAAAGAAACTTCCAAAAGAAGCTTTCAAAAGAAACTTCCAAAAGAAACTTCCAAAAGAAGCTTTCAAAAGAAGATTCCAGAAGAGAGTTCCAAAAGAAGCTTCATAAATAAGCTTCCAAAATAAGCTTCTAAAATAAGCTTCCAAAAGAAGTTTCCAAAAGAAGAAGTTTCCAAAAGTAGAAGCTTCCAAAAGAAGGCTTCAAACGAAGATACCAAAAGAAGCTTCCGAAAGAAGCTTCCAAGAGAAGGTTCCATAATAAGCTTCCAAAAGAAGGTTCCAAAAGAAACTACCAAAAGAAGCTTCCAAAAGAAGCTTCCAAAAGAAGCTTCCAAAAGAAGCTTCCAAAAGAAGCTTCCAAAAGAAGCTTCCAAAAGAAGCTTCCAAAAGAAGATTCCAGAAGAAGGTTTCAAAAGAAGATACCGAAAGAAGCTTCCGAAAGAAACTTCCAAAAGAAAGTTCCATAATAAGCTTCCAAAAGGAGCTTCTAAAAGAAGCTCCCAGAAGAAGGTTCCAAAAGAAACTTCCAAAATAAACTTCCAAATAAACTTCTAAAAGAAACTTCCAAAAGAAGCTTTCAAAAGAAACTTCCAAAAGAAACTTCCAAAAGAAGCTTCCAAAAGAAGCTTCCAAAAGAAGGTTCCAAAAGAAACTTCCAAAAGAAGCTTCCAAAAGAAGCTTCCAAAAGAAGCTTCCAAAAGAAGCTTCCAAAAGAAGCTTCCAAAAGAAGGTTCCAGAAGAAGGTTCAAAAAGATGCTTTCAAAAGAAGCTTCCAAAAGAAGCTTCCAAAAGAAGCTTTCAAAAGAAGTTTTCAAAAGAAGATTCCAGAAGAAGGTTTCAAAAGAAGATACCGAAAGAAGCTTCCGAAAGAAACTTCCAAAAGAAGGTTTCATAATAAGCTTCCAAAAGAAGCTTCTAAAAGAAGCTTACAGAAGAAGGTTCCAAAAGAAGCTTCCAAAATAAACTTCCAAAGAAACTTCCAAAAGAAACATCCAAAAGAAGCTTTCAAAAGAAACTTCAAAAAGAAGATTCCAGAAGAAGGTTTCAAAAGAAGATACCGAAAGAAGCTTCCGAAAGAAACTTCCAAAAGAAGGTTCCATAATAAGCTTCCAAAAGAAGCTTCTAAAAGAAGGTTGCAAAAGAAGGTTCCAAAAGAAACTTCCAAAAGAAGCTTCCAAAAGAAGCTTCCAAAAGAAGCTTCCAAAAGAAGCCCCCAAAAGAAGCTTCCAAAAGAAGCTTCCAAAAGAAGTTTGCAAAAGAAGCTTCCAGAAGAGGGTTTCAAAAGAAACTTTCAAAAGAAGCTTCCAAAAGAAGAATCCAGAAGAAGGTTCCAAAATAAAATTCCAAAAGAAACTTCCAAAAGAAACTTCCAAAAGAAGCTTCCAAAAGAAGCTTCCAAAAGAAGCCCCCAAAAGAAGCTTCCAAAAGAAGCTTCCAAAAGAAGCTTCCAAAAGAAGTTTGCAAAAGAAGCTTCCAGAAGAGGGTTTCAAAAGAAACTTTCAAAAGAAGCTTCCAAAAGAAGAATCCAGAAGAAGGTTCCAAAAGAAAATTCCAAAAGAAACTTCCAAAAGAAACTTCCAAAAGAAACTTCCAAAAGAAGGTTCCAAAAGAAGCTTAGAAAAAAAAACTTCCAAAAGAAACTTCCAAAATACGCTTCCAAATTAAGCTTCAAAAAGAAGCTTCCAAAAGAAGGTTCCAGAAGAGGGTTCCAAAAGAAGCTTACAAAAGAAGCTTTCAAAATAAACTTCCAAAAGAAGGTTCCAAAAGAAAGTTCCAAAAGAAGCTTCCAAAAGAAGCTTTCATAAGAAACTTCCAATAGAATCTTCCAAAAGAAGCTTGCAAACGAAACTTTCCAAAGAAACTTCCAAAAGAAGCTTCCAAAATATTCTTACAAAAGAAGCTTCTATAATCATTTTCTTAAGACGCTTCGTCTAGAAGCTTCTTTTAGAATCTCTGAAGAATCATTTTAGAAGCTTATTTTAGATTAAATATAGATTAAACTTAGAAGCTTCTTTAAAGAGCTTACCCGACGCTTAAAAACACAAGAGGAACAGAAAATCGAAGTAGCTATACAGTCAACGAGCAATTTTTCAAGGTTTATAAATCAAATTAAAAAAAAATAGATTCCAAATCCAAGTTCAACAAATGAAAACTATATGCCTAATTTATGGATCATACCTATATGTTTTAGTGCGCAAACTAGATAATCTACTGATCAATTTCGTTCATTGTAGAACATTTTAAGGATAATTTGCAAATGTCCATGATCTCATGATCAATTACTATTTTTCAAACGCTCACTTGTTCCGTGTTGGGCTGCGGGAGTAGTCTCTGTGAATGTGGACAAGGTTACCTGGACGCAGATCACATTATTTGGTCATGTGCTGAGCACCGTGGAGTCAGATCCGTGTTGTAAGATTTTCTTCGGGCTCGAGGTAGACACCCTAATGTTACAGTTCTGGATATTTTGGCTAGCCGTGATCTAGAGTTTATGCAACTCATATATATTTTCTTGAAAAATATTGACCTGAGATTGTAAGTTCGATTGACCTTGAGTTTAGTTTGTATTTTGTGTGTTTTTTCTATTTTTTAAAATTTTTGTTTCTGTAAAAATAGCATAATTACAGAGTAGATATAACGTTAATTAAGTACATGTATTAGGAAAAGTAAATTTTTTAAATCATAAATCATATTCCAAATCTACTTCTCCCTCTTCCCATCTTTTGTCATCATCTATACTCAAAAAGTCACGAGTAATCCGTTCAATACCTTTAATTTTAGATTTAAGACATTAATAATGTACCACGCAAATGATAACGTGGCTCTGTAAAGTTTATTCGATTGAGCCTATACAAATAAAGTAGCCTAAAAAATGAATATGGTAATTCGTGCAACTTCAACGCTCTTTCTTTAAAAATTAAGTGGTAGAGTTTTACAATTGTTTTGCTAAACTTTACATAAAAGGATCGACTGAATTTATTTTTGAGGAGCGTTTAATTAATTCTAAGGGTGCACACTTCAAACATGATGTGGCCGATTGGAATTGATTACTTCAGTTAACATGTTTTTGAAGTCCTTTTTGTTTCAAAAGCAGAATCACAGAACACATAAGCTATGCTTTTGATATATCGAGTTATAAAATCAAAATCACACTGCATAAAACATTGACCCTATTGACTTGTGGAAATATGGACATATGTAGAGTACGATAAATGAAAAAAGAAAAACTGATCCTTCGGGAAATTATTGAGTGGAGAGTTGACTGTATATCCAAAGTAAAACATTTATTCTTATGAAACCTTTTATTATCCATTATTAATTAGGATGCTTAATATATTTTCCGATATTGTACTCCTAAATACCGGCTTTCGAAAAACGATTCGGTAATAACAACCTTTGACATTAATTTCAATATACTCATCGAAAAATGACCATCATGAATTGATTGCACGCTTAATAAAAACATAACAAGATACTTCACTCGGCTAAAAGTGCACTTATTAGCACTTGTCTCTGCATGAGGACTGATTTCATTTTATCTGTTGTGATATCGAAATGATCCAACGAGTGCACCATCAACCAAGCGGAGTTTTCTCTTTGAGGGATCTGACTTGTGATAAAGTAAAGCTAAACTTACCTCATAAAAATAAAAAGAATTTATCTCCTCGCTCGTCACGTTGTCGTTGGCAGTGCCGACTTTGGTGGCCGTGGCAACCGATATAACAGCTCCGGGACCGCTCGCCGATGTTGGCGCTAATAAAACCTGTAAAATTTAACGGCTCAATAAAGGTGTCCATTTGGGTAGTGATCCAGTCTCACCTGAGAAAGTGCCGGAGTGATGTTCATACTAAACACATCTTCTGCCCCGCCGACACCGGAAGGACGTCCAACAACACCCACGACACTGTCGTTTATGTCCGTCTCACCACTGCGGACCTGCTCGACGAGAGACACGTGGCTCCCGGAAGTGCCACTGCCACTCACCTCAACGATGACACTCTGTTCAGTTATCAGCAAATTGCTACTGTTATCACTAAATCGCATAATAGAAGAACGACTCTCGTTGGTACAGCAGTGATTAAGATTTACGAACCCAATCCCACCCACGTCCACAGTCCGTTTGACACCTTGCCAAGCGCTCAGCGGGATATGATGCAACGAGGTCAGATTCACTCTCCGACCACCGGCAGCGGAGGCGTCGTCATACGGATATTGATGGCTTTGGTTGATTTGCTCGGTGGCAGCATGGTGAGTGCCAAAGTGCGCGCGAATACCGAGAAAGTCCTGCTGCTCCAAAGGTCTACTGGAATGTTGCTCGAGCAGGGGGTGATAATTGTGATGATGTGAGGCGTACTGGCGAATATATGCCCAGGCAAGGAGTGACAGCATTGTTCCATACCAGCACTCTACCAATATTGTCTTCTCAATAGGTGGGATTTATTGGCAAGCAACAGGTACCGGAGGGAGTATAGTCTGAAAGATAACAGAGATTGCGAAAGTTAATAAAAGGATGTTGGTATTGACTTGGTACATATGTCACGATTAAATAACTACATAAGAATCTTGTATCGTTCATGATTGAGGTTTCTGAGAAGGTTTTTGGATGAAACAGTGAGGGAACTTGTATGAGAGAAGTTCCAGTCCAATTAGCGAAAAAATAAACAAATTTTTAAATTTTACCTATCTGATTTCCACAAATCTTCGCATAATTGCTCGCCAAGGGAAATGCACCAAGTTTGTGCAGGAATTCGGCCATTTTTTTCAAAACGACGTATTTGATATTTTTCAATGAATCATAGCACGAAGACGGTTTTTCTTATCTTAATGACGTATGAGACAAAGCCGTGGGAAACTGGATTGCCTTTTCCAAAAAATACACCTGAAACAAAATCTAAAATTTTAGTCAACAATTCAGCAACAAAAAATTAACATTTTTAAGATTTTCGTTTTTTTAAGCTTATTAAAAATTCTAACCTTCTGAAATGGACACAATCGACACATAAAAAAAGACCAATATTGTAGAATAGTACACATTTGAACTTTTTTGTCCCGCAAATTTATGTGATTTAGATTTTCTGGACTATAAAATTAGTTTTTTGCCAAATAAACTATAATAATTATGTAATAATTTGACGAAATATTTTGTTTTGAATAGGAAGTCCAGCTTTCTACAATTTTCAGGCCTATTCTGCGTGGTGTGTGAGGTGAGGTGACACGCTGTGATGAGGTGACTCTCCATGGAAATCAAATGGAGCTTTAGACGTGACAAGTGCAACATGTTCGTTTAATCTAAACTGCGAGTCAATACCCAACAAACAATTTGAGTTTATCAACAGCTGAATAAGCAATTTTTTAGCTGAAGAAGCTCGTTTTTGCCTGAATAAGCTCTTATTCAACATTCAATATTTGTTGGGTAGTAACACCAAATTGAGGTAACACGCTCTAATGGTATTGGTTGTTTACGGTGGTGTTCCTACGGGATAACGATTTCACCTTGCATTTTCCTATGTTGACACTCATACCATTTTCATGGTACCATAAGAGTAGCTCATTTATGTCAGTTTTGCATGGACTCTCAACATCTTCAGGTTGTCGGCGAACATTTGCTTAAATGAAGAATTACGAGGGCACAGGTCGTTAAAGAAAAGGACAAACAGCATTGGGTCGAGCACACTTCCTTGTGGTACTCCCGAAGTAATTGCAAAGGCCATCGAGCGTGCAAAATTGATCTAAATGAAAGAATGGCGGTCAAGTAAGAGAGAATCCACTCTATCTAAGTAGGAAATCCAATAGCTCTTATTTTTTTTAAGGCCCACCACTATCCCCCACACCAAAGAGCTCAAGTGAGCCCCGTGGTAGTTGACGCAACTATCTCAGCTCAATCTGTGCAGCAAAATATGAAACTAATAAAGCTTATCATGAGCTGAGAAAAAAAAACAAATAGAAAAAATTATAACAATAAAAAGAAAGTTGATATTTATAATATAGTATGGGTGTGATGTCCCAGTGGAAACGAATTTCCTTTAAAGGAACCCACTTGTATACATAGTATTAATTGAAAAAATTACAGTTATTTTAAACAAGGAACAATTATTGCTTCTGGTAGGTAATACACGATGAACTCATCCAAGAATGTCGTGTAGATTATCTTTTAAATATTTTTCTTAATTTGATTCTAAAAACACCGCGGTTGTTAATTTGTTTTCTCTAGAGGAAAACGGTTGTATCTCTTTGAACCTATAATCGAAATCCTTTTCTGACCAAACATTGTGTGAGCTCTTGATAGTTGTAAATTGTTAGCATTTCTAGGAGGGTAACTATGAGCAGCAAGAGGTAATTGAATAGAATGATGAAAATTGTCGTTATGTAGGGTGTCGTGAACAAAAATAATATTTTGTAGTTCGCAAAGGCCATTAATCGGAAGAATATTATGACAGCTGTCGGAATAAAGCTGCAACGAAGGGAACAAAACTGGTTTTTTGAATATAGTTTTCAAGCATCTATTTTGAAGTGTTTGTAGTTTTCTTAGATAAGATTTACAAGCCCGACCCCTATAATAAGATAATTTAGGCAAGAATGGATATGAGCAAAATAAAACTTTAAGAGAGTACTGCGAGATACGAAATAGCTTACTCTGTGCATTATTCCACAAAGCGATGAAACTTTCTTTTCAACATATTTTATGTGGTCAACCCAACAAAGTGTTGTGTCCAAGATCAAGATTGTACATAAATTCAATGTTGTTTGCGAGTAACATAAATAATAGCGGATGCAGCCAGCTGAAAATGCACCTGCTGGGTTTTAGGAACTCCAAGGTGCTACCAATCGATGGAGTGTTAGTGACTAGTGGTAGTGAACCGGTTCGCCACGGTAACTCACTATTACCTACGAGTTACACGGAGAGGGAGAGGGATCGTCGTCGTACAGTGTGGGAGTAGGAATAGGTAATAGAAATGTAAACATAAGGAAATTAAAATTAGTCTAAAAAGTACACCGTTGCGAGTAGTCGACCGGGGGCGAACCCCGTACGAAATTATTGTTTAGTTTTAGTAAGAATAAATGTAGTGTTGTTGTTAATAAAATCAATGTAGTGTTCTTGTAATAAACTGTATTTTGTGGATAAGACGTGTTGTGTTCTGCATGCGAGAAAAAGGGATTGACGGATGACGAAGGATTTGGCTCTGGATTTGGTTGGAGCAAGGAAGGATACGGACAGAAAAGGAAAGTTCAAGGGCAAGTAGAAGTCACCATCAATGGGTCGGGACGGTCCCCGACAAATTTTACGTTGCCATGCTGTGGTACAGACTTCCTAGCGAACGAAAAAACATACATTTAGTTTTTGAAGCATTCAGAGAAAGCAGGTTAGCTGCGAAGTATTTTGATAACGCCTGTAAATCCTGATTCATATCACGAACTATAAGCTCTACATCAGTTTGCGGATAGAAGAGAGCAGTATCGTCTGTAAATAAGCGTGGAACCCTTTCAATTGAAGTCTGGACAAATCATTTACGTACAAAAGAAACATTAATGGGCCTCTATTACTCCCTTGAGGCACGCCTACTCCAATCGGCTTTAAAGAACTTTTAGATGTACCTATAGAAACATACTGTTTCCTTCCTGACAAATAGACACGTATCATATCGTTTGCAACTCCTCTAATTCCATACCCTTCAAGTTTTTCCAAGGGAATAGAGTGGTTTAGCGTATAAAATGCTTTACGCAAATCTAAGAAGAGAGCTCCAACTATTTTCTTTGAATAAATACCGTTGATAACATCATCCAATAATTCAGAAGTTGCAGTAGATGTACTACTCCCTTGCCGAAAACCATATTGTAAGTTATAGAATACTTCATGTTTATTTAGAAAAGGAATGAATCTATTGAGAAGTAATTTTTCCAAAATTATTAAAAATTGATAACGTTGAAATTAGACGATGATTGCATGGATCGCTTGAGTCCCCAGATTTAAAAATAGGAACTACCCTAGCAACTTTCAAACATTCTGGATAGTAACCTGTTTCCAGGATTTTATTGAAGGCTTCCGCCAATATTCGCGAAAAAGCAACCGAGTTATTTTTGATAACATCCGCTGAAATGCAATCAGGGCCACAGTTTTTTTTTCGCTCCAAATTGTCAATTAATAAAGTAACTTCTTTCGCAGAAGCTGGATACATGAAATTTGAATCAGAAACACGTTGTAAGCTCGAAAGAGGGTTCACTGTAGGATCAACGTGAATGATTCCAGCTAATGTTTCACCTATACTGGAGAAATAATTGTTGAATACTTCACAAATTTCTTGGTTACGATGGTCTTTACACTATTTTCAACAAGCGTAATCGATTCAGATTTCCCAAAAATATGGTTTATGTTTTTCCACATTTTCGCGTGACGGGTATTATTCAGGAGATGGTCATAGTATAACTTTTTAGTTATTTTTTTTTTTTAAAGAGCTAACTTTATTGGACACGTGTTTAAGAAGATCTTGAAGATGTTGATCATTAAGATTCCTCTTCACTCGTTTAATGTTTACATCTATAAAGATGGTATCATTTCTTGATCGTGGAATATCATCAGCTCTACAAATAACATGATCAAGAATGTTCGAGCTTATATGTAGGCCTGGTTGGAAAGGTGTTCATACATACAAAGCCGAATGATTCCAAAAGTGATTTGTACCTCATAACCACATTGTTATTTTGATAATTAACGGGTATATTGACGTCACCAACAAGAAAATAAGAACGATTATTATTAGACGAATCAAGTATATTCTCTAGAATGTTTAAAAAAAAATTATTTCGAACGATGGAGGACGATAAAAACCATGAATATTATAATTCCGTCCACTCAAGCCAAGCTCAACATTTATATGATGAAAACCGTCAACATGAACATTGCGTAGAACGGTAAAGGATATGCCACTTCTAATGAACATTGCCAATCCTCCATTTGAGTTGTTCCTGCATGAGAAAATGAAAATGCATCCAGGAATATTATACACCGATTTGTTATCTTCTTTTACCCATTTTTCTCCTATAATGACTACATCAATCTTGAACCGGCAGTGGTCAAGTGTTTCAAGGATTTGATCAAATTTGTTGAGGTTATTCATACCTTCAATGCTCCACTGTAATATACGTAAATGGTTTGCATTAGATTCATTGATCGGAAATGAGTTGTTAAAATGGGAGAAATTGTTGACTTTAGCCATTGATATTTCATGATTAAAAGTAAAAAAAGGAAACCTTTACTCACACAATCATTTCTTCTCGCTTCCCTTATGCTTAGGAGATGGAGAATCCACAGAGGAATGAAATAAAGTGCAATTCATGAAGCTGCTTAAGTCGTTACTATTCCTAATCACTTCCGGTTTCGAGTGCTCATTTACCTTCACTAATATAATGCCGTCTCTGCCCGCCCAAACGTATTTCAGGTTAACTTTTTTTTTTGTATTTCACGCATTTTT